TCTATAAGAAGCCGACATCCAGGGGCAATCAGTTAATTCTTTCTTTAAATGTATTTTTAATAGATTATTTATCTGACGTACTTAATAAACAAGTTCATTATAATTACCTCTGTTATTAGATCCAATATATTCCATATGCCCTCTAAATNTTTTGAAACAATCTGTTTTATTTACAGTTGTCAGTCTTTCATTTTTTAACAGTTAAATTTTAATAATAAAAACTGAAATTGAAATAAGTTATTTGTCACAAATCAAAATTAGTTTGAATTGTTCTTAAAATAGAAATGTATTCTAGGTTATATTTAGACAGCGGACATATAGGCCCTTAAAACTGGTGTTTTAGGCACTTAAAATAAGCTCTTAAATTGCGTCATTTAGGCTTTATAAACAAAAAATAGGCATTCAAAATTTGTGCAATGAATAATTAACGTACTTATCAGGACGATGAATTTTTTATTTAATGTATGTATTCCAAACAAAAATGCACGTATTCAGAATGATGCAAACACAAAAGTAGACAAACAATTATCTTTACATTTTTTATTCGCTCTGTTTCCCATAGTTAGCTTCATAATATATTACAAGTACTTTTTCCAAATTTTCAATAGAAAAGTTGCAACATTTGTCACTGAGAATTAATTTATATGCAGAGAAAGAGTATATAATCCGTTATCTTCAACCTTAGAAGAAGATGAACTGGGAATTCACTTTTGCTCTTCTTTCTTGCCAAAATATCAGCCACAATAAACAAGCACTTTAATCCGAGTCTCTTTTGAAGCACTGCTTTCAACTTTTTCTTCACTTTTTTTGCAGTAGTGCCTGGTGCATCACAAAGTTTCTGGTTTGCTCTGTTGAGGAGATCAATTTGTTCATATATAGGTTTCCCACTACTTTCAAGTGCAGTAATAGTATCTTCAATGAATGTGAAATAACACTTGATGTACAACAACTTGTTCTGAACATAAATGTCATTCAAAATTTTTTTGGCTTTAGTTACACAAACTGTATTGTCTGCTAAAGTGGTCAGAAGTTTTTTGATATTGAAGAAATGTTCACTGTAGTAGTTAGTGCAAAATCTTAGCCATGTATATGCTAAGGGAAAAATAGGCATTTGCCTAAAATCCACTGTCTAAAAATGACAAATAAGGCATCTCTAACACTATATTTATTAAATAAAAGTATTTATTTTAAAATATTTCATATAGTTTTAATTTTATTACTATAAAATTGCATCAGGGGGTGTAATTTATTTCCGTTATTATTGCATTCTNTACTTCAGAAGTTAATTTAGTATCAAAAACGTAAAATATTTGAGTAGCCCAAGACATAGCCAAAGATTGCAGCGCCACAGCACTGGCGAAAATTTAAATTTGCCGACTGGAATTCTTTCGGATGATTGGCTTTCGGATAATCGACGTTCTACTGTAAATTCATATATAGTATGCATATTTCCAATGGAAGCAGTTATTGAATACAGGACAGTTTTCATGGCGAAAATATTTGAATCATGTAAAGCAGCTATGTAAAGTATTGGCTTGTAAACAAGTTGTAAATAGAGAGGGAACAAAAGAAACATCAATCTCGCTAAGAGATGTAAAGAGTTGGCTTGTAAACAAGGTTGTAAACAGAGAGGGAACAAAAGAAATGCCAATCTCGCTAATTGGATCCACGTATGGTCCGGTGATGACCACTTGCCAGGTGGTGAACTACTGGATGTAAACAAGTGGGTCAGAATATCGGCAGACATAAGTGTAGGCTTTATTATCATCTGATAGAAGCAGACCTGGGTGAAAGCTGTTCATGCAAGGAAGGTTTATGATTAGTCGGAAGTTTTCGCCCAGGAAATCTTTAAATTGCGGAGCGAGGAGGAGAGAAGGGCAAGAGACTGGATACACAATAGTCTGTGGCTTTTGGGAAGCCTGCTAAGCTTAGAGAGAGCATACTCCTCTGGTAAACATCTCAGGTACAGGTAAGTGCAGTGACTGGATGAACTGTGCAGTTGAGCCACTCCATCGGCTGACCTAGACCTCTCAAGAACCTAATTGTTCCCTACGTCAAATTACACCACATTCCGTGTTTAATGTGTTTTCTAACTGGTATAGTGTATGTATTTTTGTAAGTAAACTGTACATTACAGACTATCTTGAGTGTGGAGGTGTTCTTCCAACGAACCTGGATCACATTTAATTGAGTTGTGATAAACACAGAAAACCAACTCAAGATGGAGTTAGTAAGGAAACTTCACTAGCCAGATTACAGGATTTGCTTTACAGAGCACCAACCTCAAGCAGTTTAGCTGGTGGATGTTACAAAGTACTTATAATGCTTCCAATGATTCCATCCATTAGCCACTTGTAGTGAGCTATTTGACTAAGTGCATTGTTTTAAGATTTAAAAAGTAAAGAAGATTTTATGTTATTTTTATGTATGTTTCTTTACAAAGATATATTTAATTATAAGTTCTTTTTAATTATAATTATATTGACAGATTTTCAGACATAAAATCTTTAGAACTTTTATTGCTTTTAGATGTTAATATTAATTTTTACAGTACCATCTATGAGTGCATCTGTTGAGTGCAGTTTTTCACCCATTGAGCAAATTGATACATTTGCAAGGAACACTCAGAGGAAAGATTGTCGTCACTGGCATTGCTTTCAATTGAAAAAAAGTTTTTAAATACTTTGATGGAATCAATGACAAGTGATTTTTATGATAAAGTAATTAATGACTTTATGGGAAAAAAATTGCTGAATAAAGTTAGTTTATAAAAGTTAATAAAAACAAGTTCTTCTATCTTTGTTTCATGTCAGTTATCTATCTATTTTAGAATTAAAATAAACAAATTGTTTATTTTTGTCATTTTCAATATTTGTTTAAAATTTTTACGGAAACACAGTTTCCCTATCATCAAATGTCATCACATACCACTGCAGCATACAGTTTAGAAATTATCAATTCAAGCATTAAAATATTGCTTTTTCTGTTTCACTTCTGTTAACAAATCATTGTAGATATATGTAAACAACCAGTCAAATATTCTATAATAATAACGTTATTATTCAGACTATATATAGTTTGGTTATCTATAAATAATTTATATAAAATAGATTGAAACTAAAAAGAATGTTTTATGACTAATTTTCTTTGACCAGTAGTAATAGTAGTAGTATAATTTTATTCAAAATATATTAAGCTTTTAAACAGAATTTTGCAATAAGTTTTGCTTGTTTTAATAGTTAATTGATCCATTAATGTTCTTTTGTTTAAATTTTCATTTTTTGTGATCTGATGATAATACCAATTTAGTATCAAATATCTGGGAAAGTTGTACAGTGTGAATCAACTTTTAACTTGTGATTGGAATTTAAAATTAGCATATAATCCATACTGGCTTTCAAATTATATTTGAAATACAGATAACTTTTGGGCTATCCCTGAAATTATAATAGTTTCATCTCTTTGGAAAAATCAAATTAACAAAACTATAACTTTTTGCCAATCTGAAACCATGTTGCTATACTTTTTGTTGTTTAAGCACTATAAAGTGCAATTAATCGACCACTAGGCATCCTTTCATCCTTTTATTTTTTATTTAGTTGATATGCGTTGTTTACACATTTCGTGCTCTATGTTGCCCCTCTTCAGCCAACTAATTTTTTAAAATGAGCTAGGAATAATAATCTGTACTGGTTTATACACCTACTCTGTAAAATATGTTTAAACATCAATTATAGTTGGTTCCAAAAGATAGCTATTTGGTAGGTATGTTTGTAAATTAATTGTATTGTTTTTGTCAATTTAATGTCATGTAATAATTGTGTATATTTTTAAAGATTAGTTGGCTGAGGAGGAGCAACATAGAGCCCGAAACGTGTAAACAATGCGTATCAACTAAATAAACAATAAAAGGATGAGAGGATAAGGATGCCTAGTGGTAGATTAATTGCACTTTATAGTGCTTAAACAACAATAAATAAATATATATATATTTGTTATATATTTATAACAAAAATTTGTATACAGTAGACCCCCTATAACACGGGTTCATATAACACGGATTCGTAAAACATGGTGAAAAAATTGCGATCGTGTTCATATAACGTGCTAAAAGACTCATATAAAGTTTTGTACAATGATGTACTTTTGGCAAATCTCCTTCACTTTAATTATGTGAACAATAGTTTATGGACATCCTGACATTGAAGAAAGGAAAAAGTTTTCAAAAATTGACATCAATCTATTCTAAACCAATGAAAATTCAAAAATTTATGACTTTATATTCTTATTTTATAGTACAAAAAATTCAGATTTCATTCATTAAATGCAAGTAGTTTAAAAAAATAAAATTGAAAATAGAAAATAATCAATAAAAATTGCCCTAAGTGATAAAATTTGCAATTAAATAACACACAAAAATTACAAAAATAATTTTCCTGTTATGATAAGAATAAACTAAATTAACTTTTGTTGCTTGAAAACTTGGCAATTGAAGATGATTTTTTTTTTATTTCGGACCAAAAACTTTTCTGATACATCAGCATTTTCTACATTATCTTGTGTGCTTCATTTTTTTCCAATAATGGCATATCTTTCATTAATCAAAATTTTTTACTTTGTGAATTGACATATAGAAACAGTGATATTTTGAAAAACTCAAAAATCGCATTGTTTTATTTAATCTCAAAATTCATGATTCACCATACCATTTATCCTGCTGTGGTCTTTGTATGCTATCAACACCAACAAAAAATTTTCACCTAAATAATGAAATTCCTCAACTATCAATATCTCAGTTTCTTAAAATTTAAGCTTTTGGGCTATTCTATGATTCTTAAATTTTTTGTTACTATAATTTGGAACTAAAAGCAGGCGATATTGTCTTTTTGTAAAATTATAAACCAAAATTTTGGTTATATTTCACTTATATTTAGATTTAAACCAATTTTAATAAGATATTATATTAGAGCTGATATTAAAAAAGAAATTTTTTCTTTTAGGATGCCAATTCAGTCAATTCCACTATTGCCAATTCTAGTAGGAGTTGCTGCTGTTGTTGTTATAGTAACAATTTACAAAAATTGTAAGTTTGTTTTATTCTGTTTTTCTTAAGATAAATTTCTTATATATGAAATTTTCGTTTGTATAAACAATTTGTAAAATAGTTTTTGTATCATAATAGTTTGTTTTGAAAGTATTAAAATGCAATACAATAAGGTACACACTGAAATAAATGAATAGAAGTAAGCTTTCAAAAGAACACGTAACTAAGAACAGCCTAAAAACCAGCAAAATTGTCCTCACTTGTAAAGCAAACATTTTCATCCATTTTAAATAAACATCCTCAGGCTAAAGATCAAAATAGAACAGCACAATTTTCAAGCAATCTTCATATGTATCATTTCCCACCGATTGGTGGAGGTGAGTCAAATAACTATGGTAGAAGAGCACTATTTTTTCCCTGGCTGGTGTTTAGATTATTGTGTTAGGTTTTCTTACTTTATTAACCAGCATTTAGCAGTCATTCATTAAAAAACTGTTTTTCATATTTTAATAAAAAAAAAAAATGATGATATTGAATTTAAAAACAAATATATTTATGGACTTTTCAATGATAATACATAACCATCATCTTCAGTGAAAACCAGAAAAAATGGAAAAGAACAAATATAGTTTAGTTTATGTTCTAAATTTAAAATTTTAAAAATCATTTAAACATAGAACAACAAAACGTTTTGAATATATTGTGATAGAATATAAAATAACATTCTTTTAAAAGTATTAGAAATTATGATGATGATATTGAACTGAATTATAAATTAGTTATTATTACAGTATTGTTGTTTTATGAAGTATTGTATAAAACTCAGTTGTGTTATAAAATTTTAATTAATTATAAAATAAGAAGGTAAAAACTGCAAAATTATTAGTTATTAAGAATTTTAATTTAGGATTCCCCAGTGGTCTACCACAGCGTTTCTCAAATTATTGGTCATGAAATAATAATACCTTCTGCACAAATACAGTGGGTGATCAGTTTTTACCTTCTTATTTTATAATTAATTAAAATTTTATAACACAACTGAGTTTTATACAATACTTCATAAAACAACAATACTGTAATAATAACTAATTTATAATTCAGTTCAATATCATCATCANTTGTTGTTCTATTTTTTGAAATGTTCTAATTTACCTGACGATGATCCATTGATTGGATTGAAAACGTTTGTGTTAAGAATAAATCTCTCAGCGAGTGAACAGGTGTTGATTTAGTTATAGTTTATTATTTTCTGCTGAGCACGCTTTGGGTTGTTGATATTTTATTGTAGGAACAATTTTTCGAATAAAGTTGTCCTATTGTTAGATGGTAGTTGGAAAAAAAATCTGGAACATTGGGCAACCCTCCAATCCTGGATGATGAAACTGGTCAAAGAAGGTATTTCACACAAAGGGATTACAAGTCCAGGTATGGTAAATGGATGGTTGGCTTAAGGAGGATTAAAAACAGTGATTCCTATGGAATAAAAATTCTGTTCATTTAAATAGTTTGATAACTTATAGGTTGTCATCTGGAGGGGTAATCACAATTAAAACATTACATTAAATGTTTTAATTGTGTTAATTTAATATTTTAAAATTATGTAATTATTAATGCAATTTGTTACATAATCAACTGAGTTACAATGTAACTCAGTTGATTATGTAACTAATTGCATTGATAATATAATTTCATTATACAAGTATCCCTTGTGTAATACAGTAGTTACATTCCAAAAAAGTGCTGTTATGCAAATCCATGCTATATGAAACAAAGGACTAATGCAAAACATAGAACATTCCAGAAGTTAGCAAAAGTATACAATTCTTTTTTGTTACTAAGAGAAATAGGTTTGTTCAGTTGAGTATCAAGCAAATTTTTCCAGAATTTGTGTTCAAGTATCAAGATACTGCCATATTTCATTTGTCATTTTTACATATGATTCTTACCTACAGTTAAAAAAAATGTTTAATAACACTTACCTAAACATGTTTAAACAAACTTTACTAAATATGAAGATTGATCTATGGGGGGGGAAAACAAAACAGTGACAGTCATACTGGCTATTCTGAAAGCAATGACGACGACACTTGGTTGATAGGAAAGTTAGTGCAATTGTTTTTTTCATTTTCCTATCAGTTTTCATTAAAGTAAACTTGATGAAAGACACAAAACAAATTGAAACTTTGAATATTTTGATGATATGAAACCGTGCTTTGCAATTTGTTTATGCTTCTAACACAATAAAGTGCTATAAATTAAGACACTTGGCAGATTTTCTCATCTTTATTTAGTTGATAAATTTAATTGCAGATCTCAATATTTTAAAGTTTAGATAATCCCTATCACGTGTTGGGATATTTTCAGCAATCGACTTTGGCAAAGAAAGTGTCTTTAGAGGTTTCCATTCTTTTAGGTGTGTTCTTAGATATTGTAAATCAATTAGTTTTTTCTATCTCACTTTGAATATTCTAAAATCTGTGGCAACTTGAGACAACACACATGCTTACTTGAATAAAAAATATATTGAATAATGAACTTTATGCTTAAAAATTGTGAAATTTTGTACATAGGATTTCCAAAACTGTGTTAGAGCGAAACTATGTTGTAGAAGTACCATGTTGTATGAGGGATACTTGTAATTATAATTTTTCTAATTAACAAGTGTTTTTGATATTCAGAAATTTTTGCAATACTGGGCCTATAATAATCTATTCTATGAGTTACTAAAGACTGTACATTGCTATATACTATAGTACAGTGTTTATCAACCTCTAACGAATCGTCGCCCCCTTCAATGTAGTATTGCCTTCTTCACTTCAAAATTCCGATGCCGAGGGCCAAGGCTAACGCCAAATTCGTACTGCATTGGATAGAGCAGTGACTAGTATAATGTTATTTGTTTAATTATTGTACGATGTAACGAATAAAATAGCTAATTATTTTTAATATAATGTTTTACTATATTGCCTAGAAAATTGTTTTTCGCTCCCCCAAAATATAAATTGTTAGAAATTGCCCCCTCAACATGGAAAAACGCCCACATGGGGGCGATATTGCCCCCATTGAGAAACACTGCTATAGTATATAACAATATTCCACAATATACAATGTAGCAATGTATAAATGGTATTGGTGGAAGTGCCCATTGCACATTTGCAGTTGAGTAGGTGCAAAATTACTTCTGTTCAAATGGTAGATTACTAGCATTACTAAGCATTAGTTAGTTACTATGGTGTTGTAGATTTTATCCAATTCTGTAATAATAACAGTAACGTATTTAAAAAATAACTTATGCTCTCACATGAAAACTTTCTACTTGTGAAATGCATGTTCCATTTGTATTAAAAAATTGACTTAACCAATCATGCATAAACAATGTCTAGCAAGAATTTTGTCTTTCTGTTCACAGGTGAATCAACACTGGTATCTTTCATTCTGCTTTTTGATTGATCATTGGCCAGACTGTACTTTCCATTAAACATATGTACTTCGTCAGATGAATATGTTGAAATAGCTTGAATTTTTCCACTGACATAATAATTATAAGCATGTAAGCTTTCATATGCTTTTAATGACACTTCAGTGTAAATTTCAGGCGATTCAATCAATAAGTACTTTATATAGCTACTTATTATTTTATGTTTCCTATTACAATGATTATCAACACAAACTGTGTGCTGGAAATAGCTGTTAACCTAATGGGTGCTTTACGCGGATTCGCGGTTAATGTGCCAGTCCTGGACTTAAGCATGCACCGAAAGAAATATATACAAAGTTAGTCAAAAAATCCAATATTTAATAATAATACTCCAATAATGACTATGTACAAAATTAGTAACAATCAAACAACAATTTATTCAAAGAAATCAAGAATAAGAATAAACCTGAAAAAACTAAAATCAATCTACTTGCTTACTAACTTACTAAACCTTTGGAACTCAACAAAAATTCAAAGACTTAACCTATATACAACAAGTCTATATATCGTCACCTTAATATACTAGAAACCTTTTTCCTCAATCCTCAAGACTTTCTCCAATTTTCAATCCTCTATTCGAATAACTTCTGATCACCTTGGAACAACCTTAATCACTATCAGAAATAACTTCTAATCACCTTGGAACAACCTCAATCGTTATTGTACACCTCTCGTTCGTTGCTACTAAGCTCACCATGCTTGTTACTAACAGAAGCTTACCTCGATCATCATCTCTTGAGGTACGGGTTTTATACTCTGAGGTGATGTCACAATTCTGTATGAGATCACTCCCCTCATTTACATACTTATCTCTAACATTGAACTTTTCCTCTTTGCCTGGCAGCCTATTTCCCGACAATACTCGCTAACCTTTTACATTAGTCTTTCCGACAATTTTTCGGGATGTTTTACTCTTTAAGGTTTAGCAAGTTCCTTAGTTGCTTGTGGGGTATCCCCCTTTTCTTAGTGCGGACTTGTTTTTTCCTCTCAGGAGCATGAGTTTTTTCCTATGGCGCTTCATCTCGTTGGTGAGTTGGATTTTCTTTCTTCTGTTTTAAGTTTCTAAAGTGAGTAGTGAGGAAGTCTTTGTCCTAACAAAACATAAGCCCCAAACAAAAATAGAATACAAAGCAAAATAAAAAATAACGCTTTGACTTGGTTCCTTACAGCTATAATATATCCCCATATGTAATTTTTGGTAGTGACTCATCTCTAGGATACCATAAAATCTGGAGTCATAAAATAGCATAAAAGGGATCAATGAGAGAAAAACAGTAGGATAAGAATTTAATTTCATGAGGTACAATTTTTTTTCTTCAGTTAGGACCTAGGTAGATCCAGAAAATTAGAAACCTTAAAAATACCTAGTGAAAAAAACAATTTTTAAAAACTAAATTCTTTAATTAATTTTACAGACTTTTTACAGAATTAATAAATACAGAAGTCAATTTTCAAAGTAAGAAAGAAATAAAAAGAATAGAAGTGTAAATAATTTAATCACAAATCACACTGTTGTTAGTCAGCTTATGGAAGAGAAGCTGTTTTGCTCCTAAATGAGCAA